AAATAAATTAATTTGTTGTTAAAATTTCTTGATTAAGTAAAAATTCTGTTGATTGATATATGATTTAGTTAAAAATAAATATTACTTTTCTTAATAATCTACTAAAGAGCTGAGTTAAATATCACATCATTATCGTATAACGTTAACTACTTAATTTGTTTCTTTTGACTAAAGAAAACTGCAGCTTAATCGTATGAATTTTGTTCAATTTTTGATCACTGCGGAAGCGTATAATGAACAAAAAGTCGTCAGTTTTGCGCATTTCTCCTGCTACAGAACGTTTAAGCCCATTCTTTATTAAACGCAAGACGCAAACGCAAGTACCAAGAAAGATAATAATGAAACGGAACAAGTATGACAAAGATAGGTAGTTAGTGATGCTATTGGTACCACGGATGCGCATGCGCATATTTACGCACGTGAAAATTGGGAGAATTGCGCTACTGTGTATACTGTACTTATGGTATCCCATCATAACCCTACAGCAGTTCGCCGTCCTACCTTACATGCGACAAGTGATAAAGTGTAAAGTGAAAGACATGGCACACATTATTCGGTCATGGGGAATGAAAGATTCCGTAGAATCAAATATTATCAAAATATTGGAAGGTATGTATAACTTATCTTAATTATTTACTGTTTTTATATGTATGTATATGTACTATTTGTGTAAAATATTATGTCTCTTTTTATAATTAATTTATCACTTCTTTAAATATCGAATATACAGTAAAAAAACAGTTTTGTTAAGATAACTAAAATTTGGTCAATCAAACCAAAGAAAGCGTTTCGCAAACTAAATTGTGACTGAGATTACAAAATTTTAGTTATTTCAACAAAACTGTTTTTTCAGTAGATTTACTACAGCAACACATAAACCTTAATTTGTAGAAAATGCAATTAGCGACGAAAATTTATCCGATCTTACTCCAGAGCTTATCAAAGAAATGATACCTCAAATTGGATTAAGAATCGAGTTCTTGAAGAAATGGTCAGCGGTATTTCAAACAGAGAAAATGTCTGATGTTAGTACGCATACATATACATTATGTGCCAAAAAAAAAAAAACAATTGCTTCATAGTTTTTTCTGTTTCTTATATAATACTATTAAATTTATGATAAGTAGTGACAGACATTTTTTTAGATCTTTTTCTTTAAAAAAAACTTATCTTGAATACTTGTAATTTTAAAGTTGATTTCTGACTTGGTTGCAGAAAAATGTTTTAGAGATTTTCCTTCTCTATACAAAAACTTATATATAAAATATTGCTATATCAGTTACATCAACCAAGTAGTGCGCTTAATGAAAACTCATGCATAAAAACAGTTTTTTTATGTTAATTAAAAGAAAAATGGGACTCTTAGATGTGCTACTTAGAAGATTTTTTTATATCGACAACTAACTTTTTTTATCATAAAAGTAAGAAAAAATAACTTTTTTGGCACATATTATACATGAATATTGAGGATCAAATATTTCCGATTTTAAGGAATTACTTTCATTTTTGAGCAATCTCTTTACCTTTATCTTTTACTTACTGACTTAGGTTACGGATTCAAGTGCAGGAACATCTGAAGCATCAGACAATTTTGTATCACAAAGTTCATCTGAGAATGCTTATAGTTTAAAAAGACAGAACGCTTTTAGTGGAAAACTGATGTATGCCTTAAGAACAAAAACTATCAATATCAAAGAAATTCTATATAAGAATATTCAAGGAAAAGCGATTGTAAAATCCTATAAAAAATCCAAATATTTGTCGCGGCAATCTAGAATGCTAATTGTCGACATCATTTTGACAGAAATACTAAATGAAACCATCCAGTAATTTCAATTTACAGTTTTTTATAACACGCATTTTTTTATACATTTTAAAAATAAAATTTATATTTTTATACTATTACTTGCATATGGGTTTTTTCATTTTTTTTGTTCTTTTAATGTTTTGTTATTTTTGTTTTCAGTTTGAAAAATGATGATTTTCTATATATAGCAGAAGAAATAATAAAACTTTTTCCTACCGAAGCTATACCTACGTACTATATTCCGCCAATTCCGAAAAAATTATCGCGAATTGGAAAATCTATAATTTCACGTGGAAAACTAGTGGACAAATATCGAAACAAACTACGCGCTTTGAAACTTATTCATGAGTATAAATCATCAGTAGACGATCTATCCGATCATAGAACCGACAATTCGGACTCATTCTCTGATGAAGGTTGCTTGCAATTTTTTTTAAATATATACATATGTATAAACTCAAACAATTACATTCTATTTATTAGATTTTTTAAATGTTTACATTCTAAGTTTTTTATCATTTACAGAAGTTGTTCTCGAAGCTAAAGCATGGTTGCAAAGTCATTCAATGCCATGAGAAATTGTTGTTAAAAATTGGAAAATTACGGCTGAATATCGACGAAAAAGTATACAATCAAACCGAGATTTAAAATTGTGTCAAATTTTTGAAAGTTGGCCCGTTCTCAAACATCCCAATGCATATACATTAATTGAAGAAGATTACTCTTATCTAAAATTGCCAACGCAAGAATTAACATTAGAAAGTTGGGAAAAGTTTTTTGCAAAAATTTTAGCTGTTCGACCACCAAAGAAAGACGATAACAATGCGCAAGCTTTGCTAACGCTGATTCAAAGCGACAATTTGACAGATAGTACGTGTATTTGCTTAAAAATAAATACATATCATATTCACATTGTGTAATTTATATCATTTGATCAAACAGATACAAAAATTATTTTGCAACTNAGACTTCTTCCACATTTACTTCCACCTAAAAGCCGAACCCGTCTGAAAAAAAGTCAATGGAAACCATCGATACCTGAATGTAAAGATAGCATAGTTATTACAACTACTGTAAGTATAATAATTAATATTCGTTGGTATAAATTTACTGATTTCTATAATATAATTTTTTGCAGTTAATAGCAGACATCACAAAAGTCCAAGAAGAAAAGAGAAAAGCAGCCGCGGATTTAGGAATTACATTACAGCCTTTTATTATTGCTGTCGGCCCATCCAAAGCGGATATTTCTGATATTTTTATATCAGTTGATGACACCTTGTACAAGGTATTGTCAGCTCTGAAAGCTATAGACTTATGTTTCAAAATCTTTCAAGTTTTTGACGTTGAATATCCGATTGAAAGCGCTCATATATGGTTGTTATTTCAAAGAATTTTATATGACTATGAAAGTAGTTTGGATAAAATGACTCCAAATATAACGGAAACAATAAGTGATATGATGACATTTCAGGATAAAAACACGTAAACAGTCAAACGCAAAAACACTTTTCTATTGTTTTATTTCATTTTTCAGTCAAACGAGACAAGTTTTTGTTTGTTGTTTTGTTCCAATTTGTTGTTTTTGAAAAGAATAATATTAAAGAAAACCTCAATGTAATAAAACTTTTTGTTTCTTTTGTTACAATTCTGAGTTTATTAAAATAATATGTTGGAAAGAACTTTCAAAAATATTTGCGTTTTTCATTGTTTTGGTTTTAATCATATAGTATTGATAGAATAATCTTGAAAGAATTTTGCAAAACACGTTTTTTTGTTACAAAATACCAGAAATGATTCCGTGCCCATTTTGTGAAACAAAACTATATTTTGAAACTTGTCTTACTAAACACGTCAAACTGCGCCATAAGACTTTAATATTGTCAGCCTGC